TACCTACATTTTTAAATTATTTTTAATTCTCAAAAATATCTTTATTTACTATTATTAAATTCTAAGAAATTGGCACTGAATAATTCAATTGGTAAGTGACGAGAATAGGAATATGGAATATATTAGACCAATATATATCGTAAAATGTATTGTTGGCCATCTAGTTTTTCTTGTGTAAATAGTAGTATTAATCCTTAAAATATTATTATAATTCAGAAGAAAATTATTTTGTATTTAATATAATTCTTCCTCTACTTTAATCCACCCAAAACAGTAACTAATGAAAAAATACATTTTAATAAAAGTTTCTTTTAGATGATTACTATTTGAATTTTAATTGATTTAAAAAAATACTATATTCCTTATAAAATGTTAATTTGGTCGCGTGGGGTATAAGCAAGGTAAATTTTGCTTGTCATAAAATGGAAACGACTCGACAATAAAGGACATATTTTGGTTTTACTGTTTTATAGTTACAATATTTTCATTGTTCAAAAATATATCATTATTCATTTTATTATGAATAGTACTATAGTTTTCTATTTTGTCATTCATTTATAAATTCATATAGGTTTCATTATTTAAATATAATTATAATTTAGTATTCCTGAATGATTAATTAAAAAGCCAAATTCATAAGTGAATAGGTATATAGTAACTGTAAATTATGATAAATTAGCTTTTATAATAATATAAATACTTGATTAATTTTTAATATTATTTTAAACTAGGTATTAGGCGAGATATTTTTACGTATTGAAAGGGAACAGAAGTAATATATAAAAATAAATATAAATTAATAATAATTTATATAAAATAAATATGCCTCGTTAAAAAATAATTTATAGTTCTTTTTTTTTAACAACTATTTCAATGCTAACAATTTATTTATAAATTGTCAATCTTACAAATTAAAATTCTATTATTTGAACAATTTATGATTGATAGATATTTGTTTTGTATGTTATAATACCATATATGCATTGCTTAGACATTTTTATCGATTTATTATTGGTAATAAATAATAATAAAACTTAAATAATAATAATAAACTAATAAATTGGTTTCGCAATGAACCAGAGGAATTTGTCTAATTAATATCAATGTACATCCATAGATGTATGATTTTTTTTAAATTTATATAGTAGTAAAGGTTTTTTTTCACAGATATGCACATTTAATCTAAGTAAAAAAATTATTTTCTCTTTTATATATATATAATGAAATATAATATTTAATACACCACGATAAGTTATCATTTTACATCTTTATACTTGTATTTATGTATTACTATTGTTGTCTGCTATCGTAGTTGGCTGTTTTAACTAGAATTACTCTGCTTGATTAATTTTGTCTTAGTTAACCTACTGTAGATTATAAATTCATTCATTTTTTATGTTTGCTAATGATTAAAAGACTTAATTAGAATAAGTCTCTCATTTTAAGTATTTCTATATTAGCTCCTGCGTGTTACGTGTTGTTTTATAGTTCATATTAATGATTCATTAAATGTATACGCGTTAATTTTATTTTTATGGCGTGAAATGTTGTTCAGCATCTTGGATTTATAAAGTATAGTTATTGATTTATTTAATAAAACACTTATTTATTTTTATTAAAATTGTAATTTTAATTTTCTAATTCGGATTAAAATGTATAATTCGCTGTATTGTTTAGAGTTTTACAAACCTGCCAGTAAACCTTAAATTAAAATAACCTAGCTTTACATCAGGGGTGGCCGACCTTTTTTTATATTGTGCCAAATAATGTTTACAAAATTGAGAATGTGCCTTAAAAACTACTTATTTATTTACAGTTTACAATGTTTACATAAATATAAATTTTAGATTTTTTTCATAGGTACTATTTTTATTACAGTTCAATTGCAATGTTTTTTTAATGATTAGGTATGTTGAATTTGCTTCATGGATATTATCTCTTCATAATTTGGTTTAAGTTTAGTTGAAGATTGAAGCATAAAATTTTTCAAATGAGAATTTGTTAGTTTGGTTCTATACTTAAAATATAATTATTACTAATTATTAATTTTTTTAATGAGTCATCTGTGAAAAAAATTTTTCACATATATATATATATATAGAGAACCATATCTGCAAACCAATGTCACCGCTACATTATGTAATTCTGGAAAATCTTTTTCGGGTAGGCATTTCCAAAATTTTATAGTCTCAGATGACTCTTTATATTTGCATTTTAAAACTGTTGAACTTTGAAGTTCAATAATTTCCAATTGCATATTGGGATTATATTTTCGGAGATCGTGTGTCGCTATGATAAATGGATTAATAAATAAGTTATTTAAATCTTCTTCTTTAAATTTACTGAATCTTTCTTGAAAATTATCATATAGTGATAAAATATGATTTTTAAAAATCGTCAATGGAATATCTGTTGGTAGATAAATAGATTTTAATCGTACAAAGTGATCTAAATTTCCCATTCCTAAATTACTTTCGAAAAGTCGAAGTCGTGACATAAAAGAATTTATAGAACCTACAAGGGCTGGAAATAAATTTCCTTCACCTTGGAGTCGTTTATTAAGAATATTTAAATGTCCGAGAATATCAGTTAAAAATGCAAGGTTAATTTACCAATTTTTATCTCTCAGTAGTTCACATTCATCAGGCAATTCATTATTTTTTTCTAAAAATTCAATAACTTCATCTTTTAGACTCCAAAATCTTTCTAATACTTTTCCTTTTGCAAGCCATCTTACTTCACAAAATAATAATAGTTCACTATTATTACTCGTTAATGGCGTCTTCAAATAGAGTTCTGAATAATCGATGATTTAAAGGCCAATTTTTTATTTTGTTTATACATCGAGATACTGGTTTTAATACATGATCATATTTTAAAATTTTGGCGCATAAGGCTTCTAGGTGTATAATACAGTGATATTTATTTAAATTTCTATTCAAAAACTCCTCCAATAGTGTTACACAACCAATATTTTTACCTATCATATATAGAGCACCGTCTGTGCATACACTTTCAAGTTTTGACCAGATTAAACCGTCACTTTTTAACAATAATGTTTCAACACAACATTTTAGTTTATTAAATATATCTGTACCTTTTGTCGATGTTTCGAGTACTTTAAGTCCTAAAAGTTCTTCCATCACTTCAAACTTAGAATATACTTAGTTGCGGATTGTCCGTAATATCACTGCTTTCATCAAGCGCAAGAGAAAAATATTTAGAATTAGTAGTACTACACGAAATTTGTTTTGAAATATCTGAGGAAATTTCATCAATTCTTCTCATAATTGTATTACGTGATAAAGAAATGTTATTTACGTACGTAAAAATTTTGAATCATTTGCATTTTTTGCAAAAATATCGAAACTTTTTTTAATGATTTCGCTATCAGAATAAGGTTTTCCACGCTTGGCTGGCAAAAATGCGTTTTCATAAGACGTTAACACCATGTCTTTTTTTTCATTTGATTGTTTAGTAAAAATTGATTGCTGAATTAACAATGAATTAGTCTTCTTTTTAATATATTTTGTCCTCTTTACAGAACCCTCGGGGTATTTTTCAATAATATCATTGTGATTATTATAGTGCCGTTGAACATTGAACTTTTTTGGAACTGCAATTACAGAGTTACATATTAAACATGTCGGTCTAAATTTTTTCCCTTCTATACATAAAAATTTTTCTATCCATTCTGTATTAAAACTTCGCGAAGGAATATCATCATTATAACTTCGTTTTACGCCTAAACTTACGCCTGGTTTATTAGATGCCATTTTACGATCACACACACACACACACACACACACAACGACACAAAATACTCGTTAACATACGGGCACGGCGATTCTAATACGACTAACTTTATTGTAGTAATCTAGTACACACGTACCGTAACAATTCTCGTATCGGAATAATAATCGGAAAATTCCACTTTATTTTTAAAAATTATATATTATTTTATTTGACTCTAGTGTGCCATTCAATAACAAAAAATGTGCCACAAATGGCACGCGTGTCGCAATTTGGCCATCCCTGCTTTACATTATATTTATAGTATCAATGTGTATACAAGTAATATATATGTTCGAACTTCAATTAAACCGAATACAATTATGTGTTTTAGCTTAATTTGTTATTGTTATTTTAACATCTGTAATAATAATTTACGTTTGTACTTTTATAAGATCGTAAGATGTTCCAAGTTATTTCAAATACACCTCGTTTTACATATTCATTGGTCTAAAAATAATTTATTATTTACCTACAATGTTCATATATTCATGGGGGATTGGCATATTTATTCGTTGTTCACCCATCAAATTTGGCAGCATTTCAAAGCAGTACATAATTTTCAATGTATTTTTGCAAAAACAACGCCAAGATTTAAACATATTTGAAGCAGAAAACACACTTTGCTTGCTCTAATAGGGAGAAGCTATGTGTTTTTTAAGAACGTGTAGCTTATTATAACATTAAATATCACCTTTACTGTCTGCATAGTAAAATTATTAGTATTGATTCAGCTGTCAAACTATTATTTATTATTCGATTAAATTTAATAGTTTAAGTAAGTCTTTGTAAGCCAACTGAAGAATTTAATCGTAAAATCTTATATATTTACTTTAATTTATTTATTAGAAAAATGTTGATAATTTTCATACCCTTGACGTTCGTGTCTTAAAGCTTTGTTTTATTATTAAACCCATTACGTCTAGAATAGTTTTTAGTTAAATTTACGCTTCCTTGTCACTTGAACTGTTTTACAGTCGAAGTTCCTACCTAAGTATTCGACAGCAAAACGGTTAGAACGTATTACCAAAAGAGCAAAACCAATCGCACCGGGTTACAAAATCGTTTTCGCAGTCAATAATATCCGTTTTCTTAGACGGTATATTTCCACTTCTCATTTGCTTCGGTCCGATTAAAACAATTATAACGTGGATGTGTGTTTATGAGTCGCGTGTACTAAATCAATTTTTTTATTGTGTTTACTGTAGGCGCGGGGAGAAGATCGTTACTTAGAAGCCTTGATATTACCAAAAATTAAACCGCATGGAAACCACGTTCGCATACAAACGCCCGAGGAATTACGACCATAATCACCGCGCCGACGGTGAACGTTGTCTGGCGGTCAAAAATATATTGAAAAGTAACCGCATGAGGAGAACCGGTGTGAGAAAACGCAAAAGCAAACAACACGAGCTGACGGAATGGCGGACAACGTCAGCGCGTCCGAGCCAGAAGTCAATTTCGTATTAAATGGGAATAGCCTCGTCGAAACCAGTGATCTCTTAGACAATGATAAGGATAAGCGAAACCAAAACGGCGGCGTTAACGATCCGCCGCCGCAGCCATCGCCACCACCGCCGCCCGGGTGTTTGACATCGCCATCGCCGTCGGCCACGGACGGCAAGGGTGGCTGTAGAAAGATAAGCAAGATAACCGTAGAGAACAAAAACCACGTGACGTTTTACAAGAACGACGAGCAGTCCGAGAGCAGCGACCGTGGCAGTACCGACAGTGGTAGCAGTCGTCGCAAACACCGCGGCGGCGACGATGACGACGACGACGACGGTGAACGCCATCAGCATCAGCACATAAACCACAACAACCACCACCACCACCACCACCACCACCACCATCACCACTGTCACGAGCACGACTCGTCGTATACGTCGTACTCGACCACCGATTCGGACGAGTCGTCGTCTTCGTCCACGTCGTCGGACCTGGTGAACCGCGCGCCGGACGGCGGCTGGGGATGGGTGGTAGTGTTCGCGTCGTTCATGGTGAACATGATCGCGGACGGCGTGACGTTCTCGTTCGGCGTCATATTCATCGAGTTCGAGAAGTACTTCGAGGAGGGCAAGAGCAAGACCGCGTGGATCGGCTCGCTGTTCATGGCCGTGCCTCTGCTGTCCGGGCCCATCGCCAGCTTCCTGACCGACCGGTACGGGTGCCAGAAGGTCACGATCATCGGCTCCATCATCGCCTCGGCCGGCTTCGTCATATCCGCGTTCGCCGACTCGTTGTTCGTGCTGTTCGTCACGTTCGGCCTAATATCCGGCTTCGGGCTGTCGCTGTGCTATGTGGCCGCGGTGGTCATCGTCGCGTACTACTTCGACAAGCGCCGATCGCTGGCCACCGGGCTATCCGTGTGCGGCAGCGGCATCGGCACGTTCGTATTCGCGCCGCTCAACCACGTGCTGCTCAGCCACTATGGGTGGCGCGGCTGCACGCTCATCCTGGCCGGGTTGTTCCTCAACCTGTGCGTGTTTGGCATGCTGATGCGTGATCTGCCGTGGACCAAGGAGCGCGCGCAGAACGAGTGGAAGAAAAAGAAGGACGCGCGGCTTCAGAAACGCCGGCTCAAGTCCACGGCGAGCTACGACCGGCATTCCCAGCACACGCAACTGCCGTCCTCGCCCACGTCCGCGGCCAGCAAGGGTGAGATCGAGTCCTCTCTGGAGCGCGAGCACCTGGGCAGCGGCGGGGGCGCGCACGACGATCACGGGATTCTGGCCGGCGGCGGCGCTACCAACGATCTGAGGCTGTGCAATTCCCTGGTCAACCTGCCCACGTTCGTGCGAAACCACGAAAATGTTCCTTTAGAGGTGCTCGAGGCGCTCACCCAGAAAAAGCAACTCTACACCGTGCTCGTGCAGAACTACCCCAGTCTATTGATACCTTCAAAGAGTTTCAGCGACAGCGGACGAATCAACGAATTGGTAAACAACACTGTTACATTATTACTTACGGCCACCCACCTGCTGTGCCGCAGTCGGTTATCCGTTCGGTGGCTTTTCTTTGACCGTTGCGATTTTTTTCGTCCTGCAGGGTAACATGTCGCCGACACAAGGTATTCACGTGAATCGAATCATCGGTATTCAAAAACTGATCGACCATCATGCGAAGAAAACTGACGACACTGTCGATACTAAATGTGATAAAGTGGATACGGTGCAAACAAAAAAGGGTACTAATTTAGTTTTAAAAGATTCTGATTACGATTGGTGGATAAAGAAAGACAGCTCGCAAGCGAAACGCCTTCAAACCGCATACCTTCAAGATATTAAAATTCACAGGTGAGTTGGTCGAAGTTTTCTCGTTATTCAAGTTTTCATTGTCCGTGACTGATTATTTTTTTTCTATAAAATCTTTGTTGCAGACACTCGTTAACGTATAGAGGAGCGATGCTTAACATCAATAGGTATAGACTAAGAGCATCTTCGTGTCCTAATATTTATCGTAATTCTATGACTACTATAGCAAAAGAAAAACATGAAGTATGTATAAAGCCCCATGCCGTAAATTGTTTTTAAGCGATTAATTTTTAACTTTTGTTATGAATAGTGGTCAGCTGGACTTTGGGAATTATGGTACCTACTAATTGATATGCTAGACTTTTCCCATTTTAAAAACATACCTTTCTTATTGTTTGCTTTATCAAATTTTCTCCTGTACACCTGGTATGACGTACCGTATGTTTACATTGCTGATTTGGCTATTATGAAAGGACACTCTGACGAAGATGCGTCATACTTAATCAGTTTAATCGGAATATTGAATATGTTTGGAGAAGTAATTAATTATATTGATATAATATTTAATCTCGTTTAATTTATATGTTTTGTTCTATTTTAGATATGGTTAGGTTGGGCTGGAGACAAAGCTTGGGTGAATTCCAACATGGTGTATGCTGTATCAATGGTGCTTTGTGGTTTTGTTATTGCATTAGTTCCACTGTTTGGTAGTTATTTAAGTTTGGGTATTTTGTCTGGTTTCTTTGGTCTATTCATTTCCGCGAATTATTCATTTACTTCAATCATATTGGTCGAAATAATATCTTTAGAACGATTTACCAATGCTTATGGTGTTTTGTTATTAGTTCAAGGAATTGCTAATTTAATTGGACCTCCTTTGGCTGGTAAGTACTTAATTTTTTTATTTTTATACTTCAATTCAATTAATATTATTTAATGATTTCTAAAAATAACACTTTTTATTCTAGGTGGTCTATTTGACATAACAGAAAGTTATGATTTGTCATTTTATCTTGCTGGTTTTTTTATTGCTCTATCTGGATTATTGTTATTTGTTCATCCAATTATAAAGAAAATTGCAAGATATAGAAGAAAACAGAAATTGATAAATAGTCATAAAAATAAAATTATAAGCATAACTTCCAACTGCAAGAAGTAATTTTATATTTAATTTATTTTATATTAAATTAATATTAATAATAATTAATATGATAATTAATGGTAGCCTGAGAAGTTTTTTTTTTTACTGTCTTGGGAATAGTTGCAGTTAAATGATCACAATGGTGATTATAATAATAAATGTACAAATAAATATTCAATAAAAATCATAAAAATACAGAAGCAATTAACACATAATAGTTCCTGTTTTCAAGTGTAGTTTATTTACATGTAATGTTTATAAATCGTTAATCATAAATCAACTCCTTTGTGTAATAATTTTCAAGTATTTAAAAACAATCATTTTTACACTAAAATTAATAGTTATTTAAAATATCTTCCAATATATTATGTTAATTGATTTTTTTGAAAATTATTGTTATAAACAAAAATGTATATAAATTATAATTAGGGTACAGCATTTTTGGGATAAAAATCATTAAAAAACCAAATTTGACCTAAACATTTAAATCCAATTAATGTTATCATTAACTTTGAGTAAAGCTGTCATTAGAGTTCTATAAAACAATTACTCTTATGATTTTACTTAAGTTCCCAGATTGAATTTATTTAAAAAAATTATTTCTATTCATATGAAAATTTAAGTTGGACTTTCAATTTTATATTTTGACATTTCAATTATTGTAGTTATTTTTATCTAAAATATATATATTTTTTTTTAAATTACAAAAAAAATATTTTAATTTTAGATTTTTATTCTTATTAGGTGTGCAGCAATTGAAGATGATGTTATAGTGACACCCAAAAGGCGTTCGAGTTTATCAACAAGTGTCTGAATATTGACTAATTACCAATAATAGTTTCAAATCACTATGTTAGAATCTAAATCAAATTGGATACCTGGTTTTTCATTGTTTAACGATTATATTTGATAGTAAAATGTCAAATACATATAATAATTTGTAGTATAATATTTATTCTGTTCTTATCATTGCTAATGATGTTTCACAATAATGTTTCACGTATAAATTACAAATTTAAAATAACTAATGAAAAATAAATTTATAAGTATTTTATTTAAAAATATAATGAAATATTGTTAACATTTTCTACATGCACTTACTGCTACTTACTGTAATTTAGATTTTTAAATCTCTTTGAGCATTATAATGTTTTACCCTGAAGTTTTAATCTAATGAGTATTTATTAATCAATTTGTTTAGCACAAGCGAATAGTTCTAAAGTTATTAAATTGTATTAAATTAATTTGTGACATTTTTTACATAAAATATATGCCATTTTTATATAAACAGACTAAAATAGTGTTAATAACAATTAGCTTTATTGTATTATATTATAATATTCTCATCGAACAAAATCTTTGACCTCTGTTTTAGTTACTATTATTTAAACAAAGTTCAATTCAACCTTAAATTACAATAATAAATTGATTTAACAGTTTTAAATTTATATTAATATAGGTACTTATTTTATTGTCTTGTTCATTTATAGTTCAATTGTATTCAATAATTTTTATGAGTTTGATTAATGCCATAGTAACTTGTGATTGTTTTTATTACGACTTAATTTGTATTTTTATACATACATAAATATATATACACACATATATATATATATATATATGTGTGTGTGTGTGTTCCTGTTTATTAATGTATGTATTAATATGTATATGTATGAAAAGTCTCATGCTGTTATTATATTTTATATAATTTTCAAATAATTTAGGAAATATTTAATTTCAGTTGTTCTCACTATTTAAATTACAGTGATTATAAATTAGATATGTTGTATTCAAAAATTATTTTTAAAGACTGCTATTTAGATTTATATTAATGATTTTATAGCATTAAGCATTTTCTTCTAGAAGTCTAGAAGTCAATTCAATAAATTTAGTTTTTTTTTTTATAATTAGTTAAATTAAACATTGTGTAAATTCAAAACTGTGACTGATATAGTTTTATATAAATATACACACATATATATATATATATATATATATATATAAATGTATAATTATTATTTGTTGATGATTTTATTTAAAATTAAATTCTTTAATCATGTTTCTAAATTAAATGAGTTACAGTTATTATTTATATTTTTTCAATATATTTGCTTTTGAATAATTTTGATTATTCTTACTGTTGTTTTTATTTGTATATAAAAGCTCTGACATTAGTTGTTCCTATCTACAATCCATATTTTTAGTGAAAATATGTTTTATATTGAGTTCTGGTAAAGTTTAACTTTTATGTTATATAATTATTATTATTATTTTTTTTTTTTTTTTTTTTTTTGTATCAATAAAGGTACTTCTTATTTACTGGAAATTAAGTTTATTTCAGCATTTGTATCAACCAAATAATGATTTTTTTTTTTTTAATTTTTGCTCATTATTAAATAGTCCTCAAATTATTTATTTAATGTAAATCTTATTAAAGATTTATTTGTATTTTGTTTTTTATAATTGATAAATTCAGTGGAATAACCAGGCAGTTCAGTTTTTCAAATTTTACAGAAAATAATTGTTTTTGTTTAAAAATATATGAAAGTGAAATGTTTATTTTTGAATATTGGAAATTGTTGTTAACAAGATTACTACAAGTTAATATTTAATTAAATCTGAAAAATAAATTTTAATTTGTATTTTTTACTAGAGCTGTCTTGATTTTGCTGGAATTGACACCAATTTTTTTTTTTGTTCTATATTCTTACCTGGAACACAGACAACCAGACAGCTTTTATATTATATCGAGTGGAATAATAATCGGATTTACCGGGTTATTACACAGAAGTAACAACCAATTTTTTTCTCTATCAATATATAAAAACCTTAATTTTGAAGAAAAAAAGTGGAGCTGCTTAGTTGTTCCACTGAGCCTTATAATTGATGTACTGTTATGTCCATTTTCCATTTTTAAATTTTTCCTACTGTACAATATCACTTTTATAAGGTTTTATAATTTATCTCTGAGAAGTAAGAAACTGTACACCTATTATTTTAAGCATTACATTCTTATGTTGCAAGTATATGATAATAATGTGCTTGTAACTAAAATCTTGGAAACTTAGAATTTGAATAACAACTAAGTAATTTACTGAGCTCGACACATTATGTTGAACCATAATACACATTATTATTCTCTATTTTTTCTATGATTGAGATTTTGAGACAATGAATTATTGTATTTTGAAAATAAAAATAAATTGATCTGATGGAAAACAAGGTTGCAATTTATAATAACAGTTAATAGATTATTGTATTGCTAGATGATGAAAGTCCTATGACTAAAGATAAGTAATAATAAGTATATTCAATTCTTATTGATGTTGCGTGCCGCCAGTCAACAGTTCTGAGGTTAGGAAGTGCGATAGGATGTTTCAATTAATAACTCAAGATAAACTCTATTGCAAAATATTCTTAGTCCAAAACATTTAATTTATTAAGAAAGTTAACTAACATGAAGATGTTTGTTATGATTGGACTATAACACATCTGAATATTGGTCTGATCTTATATCTGTTTTCATGTGAAACTATTGTTCTCCCTTTTCCCAAGTGCTAATTTGGCCATGCTCACGTTTCATTATGTGTTAAATATTTTATACCATCCGCTTATTTCTTGACGTTTCTGTCTTTTTTACGTATCGAATTCTTGAGTGGTTAACCTCTCGACTTCTGCGAATCGTATAGTTCCTTTAACGACGATGGAATATCGTGACTTGTATTTGCGTAATTATTTTATCCTATAGCTTTACAGTTATTGCAACCGTACAACTGGTGCCTATGTATATTGATTATCTATATAAGGAGTTATTATAATACTCTTAATAGGTACTTTGTGATATTTGGTCCCCCCATATATAATGATATTCGTAAGGACCTACATTTGTGTATGTTCGTAACATTGAATAATAGTGTTGATTTATACTTCAGTACTGTACACATTTTAATCAATGATTGGAATTAATAATATTTATATTCTAATCATCCAAAATTATAAACCTTATAACCATACAATGCATAACAGTAGCGGTTTTGGCATTACATTTTTGAGGAGGTAACAACTATGAATTATTCAAAATCCAGAGATATAGGCATGATTTCCTCTCATACTCTCACAATACTTTATATAATTCAAAAATCAATTTTTTCTCTATTAAAATCAAAATCATAAAATGACATTTTTTACTATATTTCATATTTTGCACTTTAACAGTAAGTAGCAAAGATTTTGCATTACTGATAAGTTAAGTTGTTGGTGTCTCGAAGCAATGTAATGAACAGTTCCAAGATCGTCGTCGATTTTGAAGTGGAAAAAAAAGTTTTTTGTGGATAAAATGAACGACAAACTAGTTCAATTTAATGAACGACTGAACGGTTTACTTATGTGAACGAGAATACCTATCACTAATGTCTATGCTCATACCACAGAATAGATGTAATCTATATACAGATTATATATTAATCTATTCTGTGCTCATACTAGATTCAAAATACCAAATCAGTAATACACTGAAATACTGTTACTATCAAAATATTAATTATTTAGAAACTTTTATTCTGTGATTATACCGGTCGTGATATCAGGATACGGAATTTTAGTTATCAAATTAATAGCGATTGATAAGAAAGAAATCATTGGAAACAGGTAGGTAGTTTTCTATGCACAGGAGGATTTAACAGAATTATAGAAATCTGAAATTATTACCATTATGAGATTGAAGAATACTAACATATTAAATCTGGATACGAAGTGCCTGATAGTGTTTAGATTATATATTATATAACCTATTGTATTTTCCCTATTCTAATTTTTAGCATTTAGGTATTTACAGTAAACTGTATTTGCTAATGTTGTCAACGGTTTTATATTAAACTTTTTTCGTCTGATTTTTCCCTATAGTTATAATAATGGCTCAACAACTATCAGGCGTGACTGTGGTAATATTTATTGCTGGTGGTATATTGACATTTATACTATTGTTCATATTTGCAAAGAGGCAGATCATGAGATTTGCCCTTAGATCAAGAAGAGGTCCTCATGTACCCATTGGCCACGATGGAAAAAAGGTAATGTATACACTTTTAGGTTATTGAGTATAACATATCTTGCTGGGTTTACTTAATAATTAAATTGCTATTACTGAGTTGTTCAATGAAAAATGTTTAGAAACTTGTTATATGTACATGTAACATGTGTAGAGATAAATAATTTTAAAGTAAAATTGCATTCTTTGTACATCTATTATTGACTGTAAAATAAATTAACATTATTAATTTTGCATGTTACTTATTATTCTTATTTAAACTAATTAAAAACATTTGTATATTACATTAGACTCTTAAAAGAGAAATTGAACGACGAATTGAAGTGATTCCGAAAATTTGTTTTGAACCTAAATTATTAGCTGTTGATCAAGATGATGATCGATCAAAATATATATTACCACCACCAGCTGAACTCAACGATAAACCTTTGCCAGCTCATTATTATCGTATGAAAGCAGTTGATGATGTTAAAAAATTAGGTAGTATTTATTTTTTTTATTTGGTTAAAATTGTTTTACTAAATTAAAAATGATTTGCTTTCAGAACGAGAAATTGCCAAACAAGATAAAACTTTGATTCGGCATCCAAATGAAAACCTTCGTTCATTTCTATTAAATACTTTAGCAGTACTTCTAGATGGTAGTGGACAACATATAGTTCATCAGTTTTGCGATCTATATGAACATGCACGATATGATCCAAATGAATTTTTGGAAGAAGAATTCCAGTCATTCACTAGATTAATGAAAAAGTTGATTGACGTGTATGTGACAAAAAAAAAAATGTTTTATTTATTTTTATTAGCTTTCAATGATGATTAAATACAAATTAAAGTTAAAACAATTAGTGATATCAAATTGTGAATTTTAAATATATACAAATACATTTTTTTTTTCTAGTGCTAAACTTTTGAAATCATATTCAGGTGAAAGTCGAAAAAATAGTCCCAATAAAACCCCAACTCGTAATAATAATATGCATACCAATTCCAATGATAGCCCCAGAACAAAAGATGGGGATTCCAATCGGTTAAAAGTTTTATAAAAGTGAGTTTTATGCTATAACTCAGTGGTCTGTAGGCCAGTTTAAAAATAGCTAAAATAAAATATTTTGTTTTTTATAAGATATTTATTATATTATTTAGAATGCTAGATAAATGTGACAAGTTTTTCGAACATCAGGCAACCGTCAACCATTGACGACAGTGTTCCTAACGACCACCAGCCATTGCCAACAGCACTCCATAGTGTCTGCACGAAATTAACTGTCAATGAATATTCCTATGGTATTGCTTATCTATATATTATATAATCAATGGTTATATTATTGCTATAGGTATTTAATACTAATTGTAATTAGATTTTTAACTTTTCCATGTATAATTACATTTTTAATATAATTAATGTATTGCATTTATTTAATGAAATTTTGTTAGATAATTTTTAAAGTTTCTGTTGGATTAAAATATTATTTGTTTTATGTGTATTTGATAAAAATAAATCAAATTATTGTTATTAGGACTAAGGAAAAAATAATTAATACAAATAAACAATTATTTAATGTTATAACATTGTATAATATTAAATTTACAGTGATGATAATCATTAGTTTTAATAGCAAACCATTATTAATTTATATAATATCACTTGACTTTCTTTCCACTCCAACACAATTTTTAAGGTTAAAAATTGTGTTAAAAATAAATTATACAACATACTATTTTAAATAAACAAACATAATACTATAACTTTATATAAAATATGTTTTTTTTAATAAAAAACCAAAAAAAAAAAATTATTTTAAAGAAAAAGAAGGCATATAATTAAATTAAGATGTATATTAACAAAATATAATATAGATATAATTATTAAAATTATCTATATAATAATACTATACGCCTATAGAAATACATTTCAACATTATGTTTGTAAAATATTGTTGAATTATGTTATATTATGTATCAATCTTATGTAATATCATGAAGTGTGAACTAAGTCTGAGATGTTAAATTAGAGGTTAATCTTGTCAACGATAGATTGCAATTAAATAATCAGTAAATGTACAATGTGTTCTAATATAAAGTTTTTTTCAAATTCGAATTAATTATAACGACAAATGTTTATGTATTATAATAATGTTAACACCTTGGATCAAACATGATAAACATAAAATAATCTGTCTACATACCTGATTGTTAGTGTGGATATTGTAGCTGAGCGCGTTAAATTTCTTCGGAAAATAAGCAAGTTTCATAGAAACGGTAATACTCGGTTGGTTGTCTACTTAGATGAAAACTGGGTTAATCAAAACCATACTCATAGACGTATTTAGCAAAACAGTGAAAACTGCCGTCCCAAGAGTAGGGCAAACGGGACACTTACCCAGGGCCTTGCGTTTTAAGATACATTCGCATGCTATTTTATATATTATTATATATTATATTATTATTTTATATGCTATTTTATTCTATATTATGTATACATATTTGTATGCATTATATCACAAGAAAAATAAAAATAATTTTATAAAATTTTAGTTGATAGTAATAATAATAATTGAATAATTTTAATTTATGTCAAATAAATATTAAAATTAAATCGTTCTTCTGCAGTATTCAATCTAATGATTGGTATGCAGCAATTTCCATGTTTATCTATCACTAGCTTTCCTCTTCAATTCTTGATATGATGAGTTACAGCCTTGATCTTCCATTATCTGACTTATGTATTGTAATCTTGGTCTTCCTTTATGGTTTTTTCCGTCGATTACACCTTCTAAGATTAATAGCAGCCCATCGTGTCTTAAAATATGACCTATTAATTCATTTCGCCTTTTCTGTATATTCTTCCACATTGATTTTCTCTTCTATACCCTTTCTAAAACTTCTTTATTAGTGATTCTATCTTTTATTAGTCCAACTTATCTTTTGCATCCTCCTGTAGCACCACATTTCGAATGCCTCTATTTTTCTCATTTCTTCTCTTGCAATAGTCCATGTTTCACATCCATATAACATAATGCTCCAGATGTACATTTTTAGTAGATTCTTCTTGATATTAAAGTCAATTCTTTTTAAAATAAAAATATTTCTTTTCTTATTGAATGTCACTTTAGCTTGTCATATTCTTTTAATAATTTCTTTTTTGCATCTCCCATCTGAGCTTATAGTGCTACCTAAATATATGAAGTTTTCTATTTGTTATATAGTTTCACCATCCTTTAATTTTATTCTTGTTTTCATGTTGTTGTATCTACTACATATAAGTATTTTCGTTTTATTTGTGTTAATTTTCATTTTCAATCTTTTTCCATCACCTGTTCCAATGTTTTTTTTTTGGGGGCTTTTCACGAGTCATTTAGACTTTTGGCCGCTAAAACTAATTCCTTCCATTGTTCTCTATTGTATGCTTATTCCCAGTCTCCTCCAATTGCTTCTAATACTTGACGCTATCCTTCCATCTTTTTCGTGGTCTCTCCCTTGGCCTCTTTCCTCTTATATATGTCAATGCTCATTTCAAAACACTTCCGTCGGCTCGCCACACATGGCCCGTCCATTCTATCCTTGTCTCTTTGGTAAATTGTACCACATCTTCTCTTTTGTAAAGCTGGTATAGTTGGGTGTTGGTTTTTATTTCCCATTTCTGTTCCGTATTGTTGAATACAGGTCCGTAAATTTTTCTAAGAATTTTTCTCTCGAATAGACGTAGATTTTCATCGTCGCCTTTTATCGTTGCCCATGTGGCACATGCATATGTCAATACAGGGCGAATGTAACTTATGTATAGATATTCTTTTGTTTTTCTTGACAAAAGCTTGGATTTAAAGAGGGTTCTTAGTGCATAAAAGCATCGGTTAACAGCATTCAATCTGATTTTTAACTCGTCGAAACGTTTGAGGACTTCGCAAACGTGCTTCTTGTATTGGTCGGAGTCCATGGACGCGACGAGGACGTCGTCGATGTAGGCGAAGACGAAGTCGAGGCCGGCGAGGATCGAGTTGACGAGGCGTTGAAACGTCTGCGCGGCGCTGCGGAGTCCAAAGCACATCACCGGGAATTCGAACAAGCCGAACGGAGTGGTGACTGCGGTCTTGTGGATGTCGGCCTCGGCAATCGGGACCTAATGGTACGCGCGTACGAGGTCGAGCTTGGTAAAAATTTTTTTACCAGCAAGGCCGGCCGTGAAGTCGTGCAGGTACGGTAGCGGATACCTGTCAGGGACGGTGACGCTGTTCAGCCACCGATAGTCTTCGCATGGGGTGGAACGATCTATCCTTTTTCGGGATGAGGAGCAGCGGGCTGGCCCAGGAGCTCGAGGACGGGCGACAGATCCCGAGATTTGACCATGGTGTTGAACTCGCGTCGCGCGATCGCGAGCTGGTCGGATGGTAGACGTCGAGGTCGGGCGAAGAGCGGCGGTCCAGTCGTTTGGAGGACATGCTCGATGTTGTTGTTAAAAATAGTGCAAATAATATAGCAGATTGGTTAAACAAAACGGGCTTCAAAATCTCCAGTCAAAAATCACAAAGCATCATATTCACAAAAAAAAGGAAACAAAAGAAACTCCTGATAAAACTAAATAACAACGTTATACCATGCCAAAACAAAATAAAAATTCTAGTTGTTATATTTGACTCCAAATTAAATTGGATCCCACATCTAAATCATGTAAAATTTCCATCACAAAAAAAGTCAATATCATAAAAATTATCTCGCACAAGTCATGGGACGGCGAGACCTCTACACTATTAAACATCTACAGAGCACTAATCAGATCCTCAACCGATTATGGTTCAATAGTATTCAAGACAGCCTCCCCAAAACATCTAAAAATGATTGACGTGCCACTAAATACCAGCATAAGATTAGCATTAAGAGGCTTCAAATCCAGCCCAATAGAGAGTCTAAGAAATATTGCTTACGAACCACCCCCAAACATAAGGAGAACACTCAATAGTATACTCTATGCAGTCCGAACAATTAAAAATAAGAATAATCTAGCAAACAAATACGTCGACATCATAATCCAAGAAGCAGAGAACCTACAAATAAATATAAAAGAAATAGTACCCAGAGAACCACAAACAATACCGCCGTGGTTAATGCAAATCAATACAAACACAGAAGTAACAGAAAATAAAAAAAATAATACAAACCCCAATACCTACAAAAACCTTTTCCACGACACTATACAAAAATATCACGATAGAAAGCATATCTACACCGATGCATCTAAAACAACTGATAGCGTGGGGATAGCAATAGTAGCAGAAAATATAACGATAACATATAAACTACCCACTGAATACTCAATCTATACAGCCGAAGCACTGGCAATATATAATGCTGTGTTATATATACTACATAACAAAGAAACAACTCCAAACAACTACCTCATAATCAGTGACTCACTCAGTAGCATCACAGGAATCCAAAACACAACGAACCCATCAGACATATCAAAATTAATATAAGAAAAAAACCTACGAAGCACGTAATATGGAGATAGATATATGCTATGTATGGGTACCCGGACACTGTGGCATACATGGCAATAAAAAAGCAGACTTAGAAGCGTCAAAAGCAGACTCCTCCCCAGACACCCCACTTCTAAATGTATACACATACGAAGACAAAAAGAAACAAACCAAACAAGTCCTAAATTATGAATGGCACAAAATGTGGACTAACCAGAGCACAAAGTTAAACCAAATTAAAAACAACATACAAACATGGCACAACCCAGGACTAAAAAGATAAGAAGAAACCATACTAAATCGTTTACGAATAGGGCATACATTTATCACACACAAGCATCTCATGGAGAAAAATGATCCTCCCATATGTGAAATGTGTAGAGTGGTCTACACAGTCAAACACATTATCACTGAATGTCAAAAATACGAAGACACGAGGAAAAAACACCAAATATCACAACAAATCGGAGAAGCACTCGGACCCGACCATCAATCAATCACCAAAGTCCTATAATTTATTAAAGAAATTCAGCTATATGACCTAATTTAAGCCCTATTATAAGTCAACCATACAATTGTAAAATAATTTAAGTTAATGTCAAACTAATGGCCATAGAAGACGATGTTTTTTGATCAATAAAAAAAAAAAAAATACACAGGACTATATACTGATATATGTATATATATACATATTATAACATCACAGAATTTTATATCTGGAAGACCCGTTGCATATTTAATTTTTTATTTATATAATTATGTTTTATGTATAGTGTATTTATATTCTCTTGTCACCGATATTTGTACCAGGCACAACGTAATGCACTAATTTAATTATAATAATTGCGATTATCATTGATCAAGGTTCAATAATA